GTTGTTGTTGTGTGTGTGTGTGTGTGTGTGTGTGTGTGTGTGTATGTGTGTGTGTGTGTGTTTGTTTGTGTGTGTGGTAGCCTATCCGTTCGAAATGTTTGGAGCCCCGAAGAGCGTGCTCTTCGCCAGGGCAACTGCCTCTCTTGGGTAGCGGGTGAGGCAGACCAACCTCCCTGAATCCTCCCCAAAGAGATGCCACCGCTTGCTGCTGCTGCTGTTGTTGTTGTTGTTGTTGATTATGATGTTGTTGTGTTGCTGTTGTTTGTTGTTGATGTAATTGTTGTTGTTGCTGTTATTGTTGTTGCTGTTGCTGCTGTTGTTGTTGTTTACATTCCTTTGATGTTTTCTGCACAGATTCTGTACAAAGAAGCGCCGTACTATAACATATTCCTGGAGACGGTGGCCAGAAAGCGAGCCGACGGAGTGGCCACTATAGAAGCCGCTATCGCCGCGGTTCGAAACCGCATCCTTCAGTATGATGGTGGTGGTTTCCGATTGGTGACGAAGGTATTTATTTTTTACTTAAGTCCGACGTTGTTTTTTATACTTTGGTGTTGCTACATTGTTTATAAAACATGCGTTTGTCCTCATCACCACCATCATCGTCGTCATCATCATCATCATCATTGTCACCGTCATTGTCGTCGTCATCATCATCACCTTCATCATCATCATGAGCATCATCATAAGCATCATCACAAGCACCATAAGCATCATAGGGCTTCAAAAGCATCGTTGTCACTGTCGTCGTCTTCATTATCGTCATCATCATCACAACTACCGTCACTGCCACTACAACCGCCAGCATTAACAGCAGCAGCAGCATTATCACCTCCACCACCACCACCACCACCACCACGTCAACAACAACAACAACAACAACAACAACAACAACAACATCAACAACAACAACAACAACAACTACAACAACAACAACAACAACCACTCTTGTTCCACCCACCAGCCCACGGAGCTACGGAAGACGCGCCATTGTGCAGAGCTTCCTGGCGAGGAGGAAGTGACGTATGACGAAGGTTTCAGCTCTGACGACTCTGAGGATGACGAGACATCCTGTTCCGTGGAAGAGGTCAGGGGAGAAGAGTCTGACGAGTTGGCTAGGAAAGCTGAGCAATCATTGGCTGACACAGATGTCTTACGCCTTCTGATTAGTGGAGAGGACAGTGGGATTGTTCAAGACGGTCAATGATTAGTTTTAGTTAAGAGTTTTACCCAATATTCTCTACTACCTTATACCGGTCTTTGGTTTTACGGCACTTGCACCACTAATAGGTCATATAAGTGCTTAAAAGAGCAGGTGTAACTAGAGAGTAGCATACAACTATATTATGAAGGCAGGGAGAAGAGATAAAGACTATTTTTATACGTTCTTTTCCTCTACGCAATTTTTTTAATGTATGATATGATGTAAGTAAGCATATGGAGTGCGTCACTGTCTAGTCAAAATTCTTTCGTTTCCATCTTTTGTATTTGTCTGTCTGTCTTAGTGTCTCTCAATCTGTTTGTCTGTCTATCTGCCTGTCTGCCTGTCTGTCTGTCTGTCTGTCTGTCTGTCTGTCTGTCTGTCTGTCTGTCTGTCTGTCTGTCTGTCTGTCTGTCTGTCTACTTTTCGTTGTACTAAATGAACATTCATGTGCTCAAGTGCTTCTCTCTTTTAGAACCAACAATATTGGCAATTTGCATGAAAATAAGTAGTACTAAATTCTAATCATTCTTTATTTCCACTTAACAGCATCCTCGTGATTTTTCTGTCTGCTATGCTTGAGAGAAGTTAAAGATGTTTTGATACTGAATGTATATTATTATTATCTGTGATATATGAATAAAGTACGTTATACATTTGAGTGTACGTCTGTGTACGTCGAGGGGTGTGGTGGAGTGTGTTTGTTTGTTTGTAAACATTAATTGTCAGTAGAAAGATTGTCAGTAGACCCACATTTTGAAATAATTAGGCCAAGTTTTTTGGTTTTTTATGTGCGTGTTTTGTTGTTGTTTGTTTGTTTGTCTGTTTGTTTGTTTTGTTGTTGTTGGGTTTTTTTGTTGATTGTTTTGGTTTTGTTTTGTTTTGTTTTTGTTTGTTTTGTCTTTTGTTGTTTCTTTTTACCCAAGTTTAAGACACCCCCAATCTTGGAGTTCGAACCGCAGGTAGTTCCGATGCAGGTTGCTTGATGCCAACTGTGATAACGGCACGTCTCCGGCCTCTACAGAAGGAAAGATCTCTGTGACAGTAGAGGACAACCAACAAAGATGGCGTCTACCTCAGTTATACGTCTACATTTAAAAAAATAATTTAAAAATTCATATTTTCGGGGTTAGAGAAAAGTAGATGCAACATCCCTATCAAACACTGTTAGATTATTCAAGTAGCGGGGCCTCCGAATTTAACGTCCGTCTCCGATAGGACGGAGCTAAATTGGTTATGAGCCTTGAAAGCTCTGGACAAAACCACCCGAGTTCAAGAACGCCCATTCTAGGATTCGAACTAGGGTCACCCACACTGTAGTCCAACATGATACCAACTGAGCTAACGGAGCACCCGGATGAGAGAAAATCGAATATTAAAATTCAAAATGCATTGGATTTCATCATTGTTCTCGTGTGCCTTTTTTCTTTTAGGAAGAGTCACTTTTTCGGTCATGTTCGGCCCGGGCAGTTTTTATTTTGTTTTGATTTATTTTACTTGTTTGCTTGTTTTTTGTGGGTGCTTTTTGGTTTGGTTTTTATTGGGGGTTTTTTGTTGCTGTTGTTGTTGTTGTTGTTGTTGTTTTTGGTTAGTTTGCTTGATTTTGTGGGTGTGAAGGGGGTGCTGTTGTTTATGGTTTGTTTGTTATTTGTTTTTTGTTTTTTGTTGTTTGATTATTTTCATTTGGGAGGAGGGGGGTTAGAGTGAGCCGTGAAAACTAGAGCACATGCAGAAGACATCAACTCAATATTCTTGACCTTTTTTTGGTGTCTTTGGTCGCTTTTCATGGTTATCTTCGGTTGTTCTTGTCGAAATAATGTGTCGGGGCGGTGTTCAACGTAAGCGGAACATTTTGTTATCCTTGCTGTCTTTATTTTCAGAGAGAGAAGGAGGGAAGAGAGACGCAGAGAGAGAGAGAGAGAGACAGACAGACAGACAGAGAGAGGGGGGGAGACAGAGACAGACAAACAGACAGACAGACAAACAGAGACAGAGAGAGTGAATGCGATACAGA